GCAGCGAGATACTCATCTTTGTGAGCTTGTGCTTGTTTTATTAACGATGAAGTTCTCAGTCCAAGTTCTTTCTAGGGTTACAAACATGTCTTTACGTCTCCAAGCTCAGTAGATAAGGAGCCAAAGGCCACGCGCTCCGGCAACGCTTATCTTCACGGTATGAAATGTGTGACTCAAGGATCCTTAGCTTATATTGCTACGCAGGCACGCACATTTGATTGTACATGCTTTCTCTCGCTGATGTTCCTTTAGGTACGCTTCTCGTTAAGCTCTTCGTCGGTATTTTCACGTACCGACACAGTCACGGACTCCGAAAATTTTTACCATAGCATTCTTGACTTGTTGGAGGATCCTGATGAGAGTGAGGAGGTGGCTGACCTTATGACATGGTGGACTCGGTTTGTGATTTATCTCATCAACTTGAAGCTATCCGAGTTAACACCTTACATAGTCGCATTTTTCCTAATTCTTCTTCTTCGCTGCGCAGTATCAGCAAAAATAGTGCGCTGTCAAAGATTCGGGAAAAACGCGCTGCCTTGTGAGAACGGGCCGCCGCTGGTACCAATTAATTCGTATATTTTCGTAGCTGTACTATATCCTAATACAATTGATGTGGTTTCCCTACGCGAAGCTATAATTACGAACAAAATGTGAAATCTCGATCCAGATGGTAGTTTCCTCTGCAACAGAAGCTGTGAATGTAATAGTAGACATCCTCGGCCGAATACCAGCATCTTGCTAGGACTTCATAACCCAATGCCAGTGTTCAGCTAAGTGTTGTGGATGGTGGCTCCTGCCATCGTAATCAACTTGATAGGATATGATAACTCAATGTCATCCCCTGACACACTGTCATAGATGGTGTCTTGCACCATCATAAACTGCAAATGTCAGGGTAGTTGAAGACCGTCATCTTGATAGGGTTTTGCAACCCAATGTTAGAGCTCAACTCAGTGTCCTTATTGATAACCCAATGCTACCCCCCTACACACTGTCATGGATGGTGACTTCTGCAATCTGAGGCTGCCCATGTAAAGCCAGACATGGTTGGTACTTGATCAGCATCTTAATAGGGCATGGTAACTTGATATCATCTCTGGGCATACTGTCAGTGATTGATACACCCTGCAATTGGAAGCTGCCCCTGTAGCAGCAGACATGCTTGATAAGTAAATCACCATATTGATGGACCATGACAAATCCATATCACACCCTGGCACACTGTCATTGATGGTGGTTTCTGCCGTTGGAAGCTACCTATCCAAAGCTTGATAGGCTTGGTAGAAAATCACCAGATTGATACTTTAGTACAAGTCAATATTATCTCTTTGTCACAATGTTGCCCATTATACAATTGGCCGTCGGAAGCTACCTATCCAAAGCTTGATAGGTTTGGTAGAAAATCACCAGATTGATACTTTATTACAAGTCAATATTATCTCTTTGTCACAATGTTGCCCATTATACAATTGACCGTCGGAAGCTACCTATCCAAAGCTTGATAGGCTTGGTAGAAAATCACCAGATTGATACTCCATTACAAGTCAATATCATTCATTTGTCACAATGTTATTCATTATATATTGGAAGCAACCCATGCAAGAGTAGATACATCTGACAACGACACATCAGTGTGCCAGTACATTGCAATTTGATACCACAGGCCCATCAATATTATAGCTTTGGCAGATTCTACCTATGTAGTCTACCTATCTATTCCTTTGTCATGTGGTCTACAATTGTGATACATATTATTGATATTATACATTAGATAAAGCTAGCTAAAGCTTTGTCATACTGGAGCCAAATGTCTGATGCTGCTACGAGCTGGGTCAGTCGTCTTATCTCTGTTCGAACTCATGCATCAATCAGTCCTCCGGTACTTGGTGTTGTACATCAGATTCACGCTTCTCGTTGAACACAATTAGATGGGTTTCTATCACAGACTCGTGAGTACATCAACTTGAACGAGAGCATCAACAATTGATCAAGTACCACGTCACCAGTCCGCAAATTGTCGCCCATAGTGTCCCAGCCTCTTCGGTCCTTGTCAACCTACGAGCACGTGAATTCATACAACATTGGCTGATATATTTGGGATACAATCTGAATTTTTGTATTTGATTCTATCAAGGTTATGTGTGCAGTACAGGGCTGATCCTACTCTGTATGTATCTCGTGTCACATTCTAATTGTGCTTACGAACTGCGATGTCTGTAGATAGTGGCACTACTCGCGAGCATTATTAACGACGTTTCAAAAGTGCTCAAGTATGCCGAACGGTTGTGTTGAGTCATGCCCTGCCCCGGTGCCCTTCGCTCGTTAACATCTACGCAGGACACCATCGAATTCTGACACGTTGTACCTCAAGCACCGCCCCGGATGTACACAACTATACGAAAGCTCTGCATGCCGTATGCTCCCATGATGAAGAAACCAATATTGCTGATGTTGTATTCTTTTTCAGGACTGTACGATTCTTATGTCTTGAGGGTGGCATGTCACCACGGAAACAAGGCTACCAGCTTTGCTTCGGACTGGACTTGGTCAGGTGCTTCAACAAGAGTACTTGGTCAGCCGTTGTACTCTTATACTTGGCGCGCACTACATTATCCATCATACCAGAGTCCCCAGCCCGGTGCGTAGCTTTTGCCCTAGCTCATCATAGACGTCGAGACAGCGATAGGCGGAGTCTGCGCAGCTGCTGTTAGACAAGCAAAAAGTTTGCAGTCACTCACCAGATTTCAAGCCTAGTCTGAACCCAAGCTGGCCGAAGGCGGCTGCAAAATGTGAAGGTGACGTTGCGGGTGCTAGAAATCCTTACATGGATGAGAGTGACTGGGAATATCAAACAGACGACAAGCTGCTTGCTTAGGCTTTGCGAAATTCGAGCCCAATGCTTGGGCGTGACCCGGGCTCGGGCTCGGCTCAGCTCGAGCAGCCAATTGCATGGCTTAGCAGGGGTCTTCATCGTAAAATCAGCCCATGGGTATATTGACATCCACAACATCATGCCCCTGCAACTAACACTACAAGTGACCAGGTGCAAGAGGCGTTCGGCCACAACCATTGTGGGCTCGTTTCGTGCCTTTTCTTTGTTGGGTCTTCCCTACACTCATTGATGCTGCAACATACGGATACTGATATGTTTTTTTCTCCGTGTATTTCTACTTTGCTAATAATATTTTCTCGCTACGAGATTCGCATTCATGGGGGATTTTCCATTCCGTCTCGATGGTGAATTGGGCGTGGGGATTTGTGTATATATTTGCTTGTCTGGGTTCAGAACTAGGTGCCGTCGCCGGCGATGACCTTGCTTTCGTTTGTAATTGGAAAGACGAAGGGAACGAGCGCAGTTGAAACGGTATTTTGGAAGGACAGAGACTGGTCACAAATTACAATCGTAGCAAATGTTACGAACAGAGAATGCGGAAAATGCCGTTGTTTGTAATTGTGGACGAGTCGCAGAATTAACGGGTTGGCATATGACCTTGCAAGTAAGCTGTGACTTGCCATTTATATCTACAAAACTTACCGAGAGTCCTTCTTTGATATTTTGTGGGTGCCAGTAACAAACATCTTTCCTTGATCAACCCACGATCATAATGGACTTTGAATACATACCGAGTCACGATGCAGCTCCAGGGGTCTCTGGACGCCTACACTTATAACAAGCGGTCCCAGGTCCTAGTGCGCCTTACCAATGTCCGTCATCAAAAAGCTACAAGAAACCTCGGCTTCAGGTTCCATTACGACGTTGTTTCGTTTGGGCTCCGTAGCCGCTATTTCTGCCGTTCCAAAGAGGCCTCCTTTTCACTCTCCTCAGGTTACGGGCTTTGGCTGGTGCCTCACTATCCGTAAAAAGGGAAAGAGGATTCAGCTATGCTTCAATTCCCATAGTTGTCCGGATGTATGGTGTGGCACACTGGCCAAGGTCACGATCTCTTTTCCATCATATCCTGATGTTGATATGTCCCTTACCGCATCTATCGCTGTGATCCTCGGATTTAGTGGTTTTGACGCAAATGATAATCATCCGCTGATCACTTGTCCCGCTGAGAAGCTTGGAAATGTCATTGTCTCGCTGGAGGTCACCTTGACCAAAACACTGACATGCATGCCATTCACTGTACCTGCACGCGTCAGGCCCGTACCGGGTGCACCTACCAGTGCTGAAGCGCCTAGAGCGTCTCAGACCTGCTCTGCCCTTCGTGTCCTCGAGCAATCGCTCAAGACGGGAACTTCGTTTGACATAGTATTCCAAGCATACACTCGTCGTTTGTCTCTCGGCAAAGTCGCCAGACCAATTCCGATCTATGCGAGTACCGCTGTGCTGCAAACAACTTTACCAGACTTTTGTGCGTTATATTCCTATCCTTATCATGGCATGGCTGCTGAGTACCGTTGGCAGCCGGAGGAAACCTTGATTCGTTCTCCCTCTTTGAACTGTCTGAAGGCGACACTCCCTTTCACTTCGCTGGAGAGTTATGAACACGATTCTGACAGTGACCTAGATGACGATGATTTCGTCATGAATAACAACAATCTTTCACCAGTCAACAATAAATCAAACGAAGGTTTGTTTGTTCCAGCGTTGAAGCTTTGATCTCACAGCCCATCGATTACCACTTCACAGACACGGCTGATACTGGTTCAATGTCGTCTTTGTCTAGCATCGAAGGTACTGAAACTCGAAACTTCATACGTATGTCAATCTTACAGTTGTATTTCAAGAGCGACTGGACAACTGGCCATCACTTGTTGGAGATGTTGGGATAGCGCCAGTTGTGATCGGCGAGAACCTAAAGCGTGAATCTCGAGTTATTCTCGTAAAGGGTGTTGCCTGGAAGACGTAGGTATGATTTTTTTCGTGTTACAAGCGTCATTGAATGGATTTTGCAGGTGGCACGCCTTTATTTATTACTGTTACACTGGCATCGTCAACTTTGTAAACTTGCGGTCTCAAAGTACACCTGACGAACAGAGTCGCTTAGAAGATGGTCCACCACATTGCTCCCCGAAGTCTATGTATCAATTGGCTAGGAAGGTAACTCCATGAAACTTGTGTTAATGTATCTATCTGAGCTCAAAATTACAGCTTAACAATGAAACATTATCTCGACTTGCTTTAAAGGCCATTGAAACCAAGCTGTCCGCGGCCAACATACTGGATGAAGCATTCTCCAAATTTACTTCCAGGTATCGATGATCTCGTTCTACATCTGCGTGTTGCTTACTGCCACTCCTCAAAGGCATGATGCTGTCAGAGTAATGGAAATTTCCCTCCTGCTGAAATATAGGAATGCGTCGGAAGTTGTGCAAGGTCTCCCAGCTAAAATGGAAGCTGTGGCCAGGGGTAACATGCCCAACGCTGGACAGGTTCTCACTGCGTTAATTATGCAGGTGCCTGGCCAGAATTGAACCCGGTGTCGTCCGTTGTTTGGGTCTGTTCATTGCGTGGACTTTACATTGTATTACCAACTTGTAGCATTGACCATTGTTGATGCGACCCGCTTAACGCGTATCATCGAGCTCATGTCAAAATTGGAATCCTGCTCACTGTTAGCGGTCTAGAGTTACGGGATCCCCATATTGCCAGTCAAATCCTAAATATGGAGGCGTCACACACTGCACTGCCTTGCAAATAAGAGACTGTCAGAGAGGCGCCCAAGCATACTCTCGTTGTCTTCATCCACCATGCAGAAGGTATCTGATTCAGTTACATCAATCTTCCAGTTGGAAACTAAGGAAGAACGCCTTGCCAAATGCCTACAAGGGGGTTCAACCATAGTTTACAGCGAAAAGTTTGGGTTGGGGTGGCGTTTTGGGCTGCAGCACTCACAAGAACGCTGGTCTTTTGCCAAAGTGAAGATTTACCTCGATCATACCCATTGTTCGCCGTCGGCGACAGACGCCGCCACGGTGACTGTCTGCCTTAAAGATGGGTCTACTCCAGAGGTTCCTTCTTTTGACAGCAGAACGGTCTCGATTACTGACTTTGGCCATGGTCCCCCCGCGCTAATTGGCTCGTTCTCGCCGTCCGTTATTGCTGCACACCCTTACATGTGGTTTACGGTCGCTCCGAAAGCAAACTTTGCTCCAGTTATCGCTGACCCCCTCATCAATACCGCATCTGCTCTCAGGCAGTCCATGAGCAACGGCGAATTCACCGACACCAAGTACTATGCCATGTCCAAGCGTGCAACTTGGAAGTCTTCAGGAGAAACTCGTGCCGTATATGCGAATGGTGCAATTTTAGACCACGGCGCCGATGTTGCGCCAGGTCTCCCTTGTGGGTGATCTCTTATCTTACCTGGTGGACGAACATTAGTAATGAACCTATCCTCTAGCATCTATCAAAAAAAATTCTTTACTCGTTCACTACGACAACGAAAATGGGCTGATGATGGACGCCACTGAACGATATGATTATTACCTCGACAGCGACATCGACTCGGAGGAAGAAGAAGACGTGAAAGTCAAAACCGTGACGAGGGAGAAAGCAAAGGGAAAAGCACAAGGAGTGCCTAGCCAGCCCCCTCCTTATCGTTATAGCCAGAGCTATATTGCTGGCCCGGCATATTACGAGCATGAGTTGGATGAATTTAGTGATACATTCAGTGATACCACTTCCGATAGCAGTGCTTTAAGTTCGGATGATGATAGTGAGTCTGTCTGCTTCTCCCTGCGCCTGGGGTGATCTCTCGTGCTGAGTCTACTACTTAGATGACAGGTGGGCGGAATGGGCGGCTACGCGGCCTCCAGGTTTCCGCTCGACGGACACACTGAAGGCTGAACCGCTGCCTCAACCCTTTTCTCCGACACAGCGAATAGTGTTGGTTCGGAACACGGCATTCACAACGTGAGCTACGCTTTCTGACTAGCTCAAAATGACTCAAACTGTTCGTGCAGCTGGGCATCCTACGTATACTATTGTTACACTGGCCAAATTTCTTTCCACCCTCTGAAGTCCAAAGATCCGCTCAGCCGGCGCAACAACACAACTCAAACTTTACGCTGTTCTCCCAAGTCGATGTACCGACTCGCCTCCAAGGTTTGTGTGTCTCGCGTCTTATGTGGCACACCGATTAACAAGAATCCCGAAGCTCAAGAATGCACGTTTGGAAGCTCTGGCGTACCAGGCAATTAAATCTGATTTATCCTCGAAAAATATCTTGGATGAGGCGTTCTCATGGTTTACAGCCCAGTACACCTTTCTTGTTCTACACCATGATCATCGCTGACCCTCGATCACCACAGGCACATTGATATCCAAAAAATGGAACTAAGACTCCTGTTAGAGTTCCGCAACACACCCGAAGTATCAAGTCGTCTGGATCAGATCCTTGAAAGTGTTTCCCGAGGAGAAAGGCCTTATGCACATGTTATGCTTCGTGGCTTTTTAATGTGTTTGACACGGCGGGGGACAGGTGGTACGAAGTGAAGTCGCAGCAGTTATTTTGTCAGTTGTACTTGTAAGTCATGTTGTCCCAATGTTGTCCTTGTGTTGTTATCTTGTCTTCCACCTCATCGTACGTCACGGTGTTGTATCATTACTTGTAACTTGCCATCATGTGTGTACAAGGTTTACCGACTGTCAATCTACTGTAAAATTCACTACTGCAAAGTTACGGCTTAACGAAAGTTTGAAAAACAAACTGGTTATTCGAGATGAGGAAGTACATAGTAGTACACTGTATTATCGCACCGATATTAGCTTGAACCCGATGGCGTCCGTTGTTTGGGTCTGTTCATTGCGTCGACTTTGCATTGTATTACCAATTTGTAGGATTGACTGTTGTTGATGCGACCTGCTTAACGCGAGCTCGTGTCAAAATTGGAAACCTGCTCACTGTTAGCGATCTAGAGTTACGGGATTCAGTTAACTCCTAAATATAGAGGCGTCCATCACTGCACTGCCTTGCAGATAAGAGACTAGTCAGAAAGGCGCCTAAGCATCCTCTCGTTGTCTTCATCCACCATGCAGAAGGTATCTGATTCAGTTACATCAATCTTCCAGTTGGAAACTAAGGAAGAACGCCTTGCCAAATGCCTACAAGGGGGTTCAACCATAGTTTACAGCGAAAAGTTTGGGTTGGGGTGGCGTTTTGGGCTGCAGTATTCTCAAGAACGCTGGTCTTTTGCCAAAGTGAAGGTTTACCTCGATCATACCCATTGTTCGCCATCGGCGACAGACGCCGCCACGGTGACTGTTTGCCTTAAAGATGGGTGTACTCCAGAGGTTCCTTCTTTTGACAGCAGGTCGGTCTCGATTGCTGACTTTGGCCATGGCCCCCCCTCGCTAATTGGCTCGTTCTCGCCTTCCGTTATTGCTGCACATCCTTGCATGTGGTTTACTGTCACTACGAAAGCAAATTTTGCTCCAGTTATCGCTGACCCCCTCATCAATACCGCATCTGCTCTTAGGCAGTCCATGAACAACGGCGAATTCACCGACATCAAGTACTATGCCATGTCCAAGCGTAGAACTCGGAGATTTTTAGGAGAAACTCGTGCCGTATATGCGAATAGTGCAATTTTAGACCACGGCGCCGGTGTCGCGCCAGTCCTCCCTTGTCGGTGGTTTCTCATCTTACCCTGTGGACGAATAATAATGGACCTATTTTTTAGCATCTATCAGTGAAGATTCCTTACTCGTTCATTACCTCAGCGAACAGAGGCTGATGATGGATGCCGAGCAATCATTTGATTTTGACCTCTCCGACAGCGACATCGACTCGGAGGAAGAAGTAGAAGAGAAAACGAAGAAAACGAACGCGAAGGAAGTGCCTAGCAAGCCCCCACCTTATCGCAGAAGCTATTCCGTTGTGGCGGAACCTTCTGAGTTTGATGCGTCCAGTGATATCACTTCCGAGAGCAGTGCTTTAAGTTCGGATGATGACAGTGAGTCTGTCTTCTCCCTGCGCATGAGATTTCCTCTCGTGCTGAGCTGCTATTTAGACGACAACTGGACGGAATGGACGACTCGGCGGCATCCAGGTTTTCGCTCGACGGACACATTGAGGGCTGAGCCACAGCCTCGACCCTTTTCTCCGATACAGCAATTAGTGTTGGTTCGGAACACGGCATTCGCGACGTAAGCTGCATTTTCTCTGACTGCTAGTAGCTCAAAATGACTCAAACTGTTCGTGCAGCTGGGCATCCTATGTATACTATTGTTACACTGGCCAGGTTACTTTCTACCCCCTAAAGTCCAAAGATCCGCTCGGCCGGCGCAACAACACAACTCAAACTTTACGCTGCTCTCCCAGGTCAATGTACCGACTCGCCTTGAAGGTTGGTATGTCTCGCTCGTACTATATGGCACACAGATTAACAAGAATCCTGAAGTTCAAGAACGCGCGTTTAGAAGCTCTGGCATTCCGGGCAATTAAATCTAATTTATCCCAGAAAAATATCTTGGATGAGGCGTTCTCACAGTTCACAGCTCAGTACGCCTTTCTTGTTCTACATCGTGATCCCCGCTGACCCTCGATCACCACAGGTACCCTGATATCCAAAAAATGGAACTAGAACTCCTGATGGAGTTCCGCAGTGCACCCGAAGTTGCAAAACGTCTGGAACAGGTCTCTGAGAGTGTTTCCCGAGGAGAAAGGCCTTATGCACATGCCATGCTTCATGGCTTTTTAATAAATTTGACGGGACAGCGAGCAGGTGGTACGAAGTGAAGTCGCAACAGTTATTTTCTCAGTTGTACTTGTAAGTCGTGTTGTCCCAATGTTGTCCTTGTGTTGTTATCTTGTCTTTCACCTCATCGTACGTCACGGTGTTGTATCTTGTAACTTGCCACGTATGTACAAGGTTTACCGACTGTCAACCTACTGTAAAATTCACTACTGCGAAGTTACGGCTTAACGAAAGTTTGAAAAACAAACTGGTTATTCGAGATGAGGAAGTACGTAGTAGTACACTGTATATCGCACCGATATTGTTGAAGCTTCGAAGTTCTGACTACCAAAGGGGGAAAAACATGGGAACAGGAAGACGTACAAACGAAAATACAAATGGGGTCTCACAAATCATGCACCATGAATCCTCATTTCGCCCAGCCTCCTCTGCACCCAAGGAGCCCTCAACCGATTGTTCATGTGGAGATATACGATGGCCTCGTCTTTGTTCTTTAAGAACAACAGCATCATCTCCAACTTATCTTCATCTGATATGTTGGTGGCCGCACTGAGGACTTCAAGAGAGCGTGCGAAATCAGAGGGTGGCGCAGCGGGGAGCGCAAGAGCCACAGGTGGGGGTGGGGGAACAACAAGATGTTTGCTCATTTCTTGCACTGCACCGGCGAGTGCTACAATCGCTGCATTCTCCTGCTGCGGTCTGGCAGTTGCATATGACGGGCGAAAACGCGCGCCCAATGGAATGTTATAGTCAGAAGGCTGGATTGAGTGCGTTCGACAGAGCTCTTCGAGCCATTTCTGCACTGCGGGCTGGTAACCATTGCCCAATGGAGTCAATGTCAGACTCAAGTGAGGTGATTCTGCGTCGACGTACCTCGTCATGCCAATTCTCGAAGTTCTGATAGCCGTCCATATCGATTGCAATGGGGGGTAACAACATTCAAGTGAATAGATCTTTGTTATCATGTATCATGAACACGTAAGCGTTTCCATGATTGAGCAGGTCACATGACAACGAAGCAATGCTGGGCCAATGGATGGCCGTGCTCTCTTTTCACAACTACTCGCCAGCTACACCTAGTGCTCGTGGTTCTAAGGATCCGAAGGACTTGATTAAATCGATGACCCATTTGGTGTAGATAAACATAGCCCAGGGCGAGCTAATAATAGACTCACTCATCGGGAGCACACATGGGCCCGGGTTCGCTGACTCCCGTATACATGCATCATAGGTACAAGACATGAAAAAGAATCGGCATTGCGGACTTGAAATTACAAAAATTTTAATCGTCTAATACATAGCGGTGCCCACACACTAGCGCAATCGGTGACAGATGTACCATTACCATTTGTCTGCACCTGGTGTGCGAGACCACCCCACGTAATGATGTTGGCCTTGGTCTGACTGCTACTCAGAGAGCAAAGTGAGCGATTCAATACAGGCTGCTACCGATTTAAGACCACCCTGGCTTCTATTGCTTCTTAGAACTGTATAGCGTGAATTGCTCTATGGTCCCAAGAAGCAACATCACTCGCGCCACCATTACATATTTTCCGTATGGAATTTGGCATCCCCGCCTGCGTCGGCAGACACCTTGCTTGTCTCGCTTAGAGCATGTCGCTGTGATATGGTCTCTGGTGATTGAGCTGACGAAAAGCCGGAGAGGGGAAGTATGGGATCGGCAAGACTGGACGTGGCAAGACTGGACGTTGCCTGACCACTGCATGATCCCATCTACTGGCGGCGAGACGTACGAGTACTCGTCTTCTGGGAGACAGTAAACGAACATGTACGAGAGGATTTTAGTCGGCAAGAGCCAAAGAGCCAGCGCGAATCCCATGCGCGAATTTCTAGATTGAATGATATCGTTAATATAACATCCTTTGACGTGGAAGGTTGGGGAATACTAGTCTGGTCATTATCAATAAATGGCTCGATATAGCATACAAGTAATTGAGCAGGGTGAAATTTGTCGATTGACATGAGCGTAGCCGTACTGGGGCTATGTTAATGTTCCCATGGGTCCTACATTCAAATCAAGTTGTGATGTGGAACGCCGTAATATTTCTGCTGGCATTGAGCAAGAGACTAGCTCAGCTTCTCACGTAATGACCGGATGCCCAATGATGGTGCTGGCTGAAACACTAAGCGTTATTTTTTCACGAGTATAAGAGCAAATCATCTTCACCCCAAAGAAATTATTGGAGTACCTCACACCACCTCGCACAAACAATGCGCTTCTCTTTCCTCACTGTTATTATTGCGCTGGCAACATCTATAATGTCTGTCGGTGCGTGTCAGCCAGATGGCGAGAGTTGCACAGAGACCGTGGCCTGCTGCAATGAAGAGAGTACCTGCGTTCTCATTGTGAGTAGTAGTAGTTTGCATTTTCAAATTTTCACCTGATAGCACACCCTTTGCGCCTTTTAATATCAGCCGACTGGTGCTCAAATTTGCTATAATCCTGGCGATGAACCCCGCAGAGGAGGCCGGTAAATTTGTACACAGCAATACACTGGTGAGGTATGTTTCTGCTTTTCCATTGGTGATCGAATGATGTGCAGTGTCGATCCAGTCACAAACATGAAAGGCTAGAATAAGGACGATCGACGGTTTCATAAGGCTGGCAATGAATTCCACGAGGAATTCTGATAGATACAAGTATAACAAGAAAATAGGGACCTGCCGGTGCTGGACAATCGATACAGCATTTCATGGAGTATAGTCAGTAAGTAACCTCTACAACTTGAAGCTAGACAGAGACTCATCGGAAGCAATTGATCGCTCTTCAACAACTTCAAGCTGCAAGTCCTTGGTTCTCAGATGTGACCGACCACAATACCGACCAACTTGTCCAGGCTTCAGCTGTAGTTACTGTTAAAAAATGTTTCGACCGGAATTCGTGCTCAACCCAAATCGTAATGTTACCTGCTATCCTGGTCAGACCTTCCTAGCCTCTACCCGTACTATGCGATGACGGCAGAAGAGTCAATGGCAATGATGAATTAACGATAGTTGAGAGAGCAAAATACGAATAAAGTCAAAGTGTTGCGTCGCTAATGGCGATCATCTGCGTTCTGAACAGGCATGCAGCAAATCCACCCCACGAAACGAGCGCGCCATCCAGCACCGGTGATATGAGGATGCGAGGGTATTCCCGATGCCCCAGCAGTGTCAATGACGGCAGAAAGCGTCGAGATGGTGGTAGTTGGAGATAGCTGTGATGATGATGCGTTAGGTTTTTGCGTGGTATGGATTTTGGGAAGTCGAAACGAGCTAGCAGTTGGCTTCTTTCTAGCGCGATAATTTCTCTGCGCGAAAACGAGTCAGCGATAAAAAGACAACCGTGAAAGATAAAAAAACGCACAGGCTTTCCCGCTGAGCAAGGGACTTCGATCTCTCGCAACTCAATATCCGATCCATCTCGTCCGGGTAGCATACCAGATATCAGGTTTTGAATTCAGTTGAGAAAAGAGATAGAGGTCGAGTATGGTACTCAGTTTTCCCGTGAGACTTTGAGCGACGCCAGAAGGAGGAAAGCGACTGAGGATGTGTCGGCGTGGTACAAGAGTGGGGTAGTCATGTGGTCCATAAGCTTGGGATAGATGAATGCACGACTGAGGACATACGAGTCACAGGATTGAATAATAAACGGAGATCACGTACATTGGCCTCTCGCAGTGCATCGTCAAAGAACCCTGGAGGTATTCGAGGGGCACTTTTCATCTTTGGAGCTGGTCGCGGTGTATCGACCTGAGGAAGCCGTTGTCAGCATCATTTGGAATGAAATGTATCTAAGATTACAATATCTGAAAGGCCAGCTTCTCTGAAAATAGCAGAAGCATCCCAGGTATATATCTGACCGTCCTGGCAGCGAGTGAAGAGGAACTTTCCATCTGGAGAAAAGGTCACATTGGTCAAGCCGTCTTCATGACGAAGTGGTGTTCCGATGGGTTGATTGGTTTTGATATTTCATAGTTGCGCTGTCCTGCTGAGGAATGATGTGATTGCGAAGAAGTGCTCATCGGAGATAGTAAAATGAAAGAATCGACCCGGACGCGCACGTCAGAAACAGTCAAAGTGGCTGTGTCGAATTTCTAATAGTACCAGTGTAGGCTTGGCATGATTCCGCTTGAAGATATCAGGTACTTGAGTCCATAATAATCAAGTACTGTCACCATCGACGACGTGCGAGACTAGGATTTTTAGCCTAGCTACTCCGAGTCATCAGGAGGCACATTTCATCACGGATCGTGCCCTCTAGAATTCATAAAGATCGAGAGGCGACATGTATCATGTTAATACTAGACAGTATTCAACCAAACCTTTCGACGACATCGTAAAAAGAAAACAAAAATATCATGAAAAATAGATATCGTGTAGCATCATAACAACGGTCACGTAGGTGGCCATGTTCCGGTGTAAGGGCGTTCTCCCCACTTCTCCCAAGCATGTTGACCAATGCGGCGCACAGTGCCCTGTAGCTCCGCTTTCAAAGCTGACCATCCTTCGTGTCTTACAATATCATACGCGCTCGAAAGCGACCACATAAATGAGGGGTAGGGCGGCGAGAATTGGCGGGAGTGTCCAGGTAAGGGGTTCAACTCTGGGTATAGAGGATCATAATAGACGGTATAAAACAATCGGCGAGCTTGGACATGTGTCAATCTATGCAGACAGTCAACAGGTCAGTGAAAAAATTTTCATACAAAATGAAGATATCTACCGCCACATCGCAAGGACGAAAATTATTTGGGCCACAACTCCGAGCAAAACCATGCCACGATGGAAAGAACGGTTGTCGCCAATGATGGCCGGCTATTCGAGAGAACCAATCAGATGCGACCACACGAATGCATATACACTTTGTCTTACCAAAAGCCCACTTCGGCTCACGGCGTCCTTCCCATGTTTGTGCACCAGGTTACGCTCTTTCACAGATTCAACACGAAGGGTCTGGGCTAACTGATTCCGAGCATGCCGCGCTGCCCTCGAAACTTTTTCTAGCTCTTCAAGGTGGCTTGTATTCAAAGCGAGATCATCAGCAGACCTATTGCAGTTCTTATCAGTCAGCACTTGTCTTGAACCGTACACTGGAGATATTACCTGTCCCCATCACTTAGCCCATCGGCCCACTCTTGAAGAGTTTGCCGCATCCGAGCCAGCGTTTTGGTGCGACCAACAGGCAGATCATCATGCAGGACTAACAGCTCTTCTTCAAATAGGGGTTCAATCACAGGGTCGACTTCTTCCTCAATTTCTCTTCCCATCGCATCAACAATACGAATATTACTCTTGTGTTGGACACGAGGGGTGCGAGGAGTTTCAGCTGACGACAGTGAACGAACTACGTCTTTCGCATCCACATGCCCGTTCGCAATATCCTGTGCATCAGCCAATGTTGGAGGGTCATCAATCCTTTCTCGACCGAATGCATCCACAACCTTGACGGTGGGGGATTTTCTCAGCGAACGTGGCGATGGCGTATTGGCACGAGATATGGGTGTTGTAGAACGTTCAGGAGTGACGGGCCTTGCTGGCACTGGATCATGTACGACATCAACGTGAACAGAACCATTGGTCATTTTTGAAGGGTCGCTTTCCGCCTGTCGTGCGTGGATATCAGGCAGAAAGTCTGGCGCAGATACGCGTCCAGAAGGTAAAGGTGATTTTTCAACTTCAGCAGTTGAAGCCTCTGATTCCGTGACGTCAAAGCGTACTTTGAGAATGCTCTTCCTCCTTCCGATAGAACCAAACTGGGATTGATCGGCAGAACCATTCTGTCCATTCTGAGTCACGGGTTGATTTGGAGTGAGCATCCATGCCCCGGGGGGTGCCGGAGTGCGTAGAGGAAGAGACTTAGCGCGCGACAGAGAAGGTATTGGCGTGAGCAGTCCATTGCCTGCTGGGACCTTTGTCTCCAAGTTCCGTTCAGGTTCAGAAATAGCTTGAGATAGAGGCGTCGATGACAATGATACAGTCGGAGCCAACTCGGATGAAGTAGGTGGTGGTGATGTTTCCCTCAGGTGCTTGGGCGGTACAGGTGTAGCAGCCCATGCTCCAGGAGGCTTTGGGGTCTTCATCGCGGTATAGTTCGGATTGGCAGGGCCATCCTCATCCACTCGGACGGGTGTAACATCCGCCTCGCGTGTCTCTGCTTCATCTTCAGAAGATGAAGGGAGAACAGAAAGATTAGAAAGGTCATGAGGCGGAGATGGTGTGCGGAAGTCAAGAATGGAAGTGCTTGACGCAAGACGGCGCGGTGGAGTTGTGAGCGCGAAGGTGGGAATGACTTCAGAAGAAGATTCATCCCGAGGAACGGAACTGGTCATTGGCGGCGTTCCTGGGGGAGTGAAGGATGATGGCATCGCCTGCTCTTGAGACTGAGAATCATCTAATGGAGAGTCTGGAGTAGGAGGTCGGAACGAGGTCGTTGAAGTTGAGGAAAGAGCTCTGTGAAGACGTGCTTCATCATTGGAAGAAACACCAGGTGTTTGAACGAGTGAGCGTTGTCTTGGTGGTGAGGATGGTGGAGACACCAGAACCTCTGTCTCTGGCTCGCTGGGAGGATCTTCTGGTAAAAACTTTGAAGGTCGTGTGTCTGGAGTAGTCAATTGCGGAGCAAACTCCGACACGGATTCCTCGTCGCTCGCTGTATATTCTAAGATAAGAAGGTATATTGTCAAGCTAAGGGAAATACGGGTCTTACCTAAAACCATATCCTCATCCCCAAATGCATCGTGGATGCTCATACGAGGGTGAATACTCCCTACTGACTCAGTAAACTCTGTCAGCCGCTTGCGGTGACCCTTTTTAAACTTCTCCTCATCGTTAGCTTTAGGAGTGGAAGAGGCAAAACTGCCACTGTTGAAAAGACCATTCTTCTTAGATGGCGAGGGTACTGGAATCAAGCTCGACCGATTGACGCCCGACGCTCGATTGGATGCGAGCGAGCCTGGAGTCGGCGATGGCGAAGAGATGGTTGGCGTGTGGTGATGTGAAGAATCAGGCTCCTTGTTGCTACGTCCGCCTCGTTTAGGCGAACTCTCCAGATCTAAAGGAGGAAGCTGATGACCTCGCGAAAAACCCCAGCCAAATCTTGAAGCGGCCGCAGGCTTAAGTGGTGTAGTACGGGGTGAAGCTTTGCCATTATTGGAAGGAGACAACGGATCTGCACCCTGCGGCGGATGAACGGACAATGGTTCATCGAGCACCGAATCTATTTTGCCTTTGTGAGAATGCACCTTCACAGCCGTCAGTGAGCCCTTGCTTTGAGCCTCTGGAGTGAGGCGAGGTAAACTAGACGATGCACGCAAGCTCCTCCCACTCTTGCTTTGGGAAAGATAGTCACTCGCAGATGTAACTTCATTTCCACTGCTGTCATGACTATGATGTCTCGTTGTGTTCCATTTGGGCTGTGGTGAGTTCCAATTTCGCTCACGTTCGTGCGTTACCTTTCGGTCTTCTTCCACTTCTTCTGGGTCTCGTAACGAGTCATGACTAGCCTGTGAACTGGCAGGAGAGCTGGCACCAGATAATCGAGAACTGGAACCTCGTCGTTGAAGGGATGCAAGCGTCGGTGTCGCATACGCTGTGACTGATGGAGGTCGGCTGGGGTAAGTGTGGGAATGATTCGAATGTGAGCTAAGACTTGAAGACGGTCGAGGTGGTGGGTGTCGTTTATTCCATTCTCGTTCACGCTCGAGGTAGCGGTCCCCGTCAAGCTCAGCCATCCGATCACGATCTGAAGGTCATCGAAGTGGTGTGAATTGAAAAGAAATAATCGCTTACGATCTGCCTGTGAGCTCACGGAACCTGACCTTGAGCTCCAATCATCATCAAAACTCCGAAGCGACGCAACGCTGCCCCTTCTATGCAGAACCCTGCCGCTGAGAGGTGAAGTCGCTCCGTTCGAAAGAGATTTAAAGTGAGAAGGTGACGTCCAAGGAATTTCTTGAGAGTGGCGTCGGTGGAACTCCAATGAGTGTTGGTGATGCAGCTCAGGGGTGACAGAACGTGATGGTGCTTTTGGACGGTTCCACTCGCGTTCGCGTTGGTGCATGCGATCTTCTTCACGAGAGTGGTGTTGTTCTTTGACTGGAATACCATGATAAGCTCGCCTCGGAGAAATAATAGCAAGTGGTAATCTCACAATCAGCATCAGAAAGTGATGAGCTCGCCCTTGGCCCTGTGTATACTGTAGGTGGGTGACGTAAAAGCGAAAAGACATCACCTACCTGGCAATTCGAGACTGGCACGCCGAGACTGATCCTGATGTCGCAAACTTCCGCGTAATGAAATGGAGGAACGGGGCCGCAACAGGGTGGTTGACGGGCGATTGGTACTTGGCCCAGGTATCGGTGCTGGTACTAATGGAACAACAATAAGAAAGGTTGCAGTTAGCCATTTTGAGAATGATTGCCTACAATCTTCGGATGTATCGAGATCTCCCATAACATGCTGCATATCCGAATCTTGATCCAGGAGATCTAATTGAATGGTCAGGGGGGTACAAACATTGCAAATGTTTGACCTTACTAGAGTGAGACGCTATCTGGGAGGGCAATTGGAAGGTTCTTTGATACGAACTTGCAATTCTTGAAGGTGATGATGGAGTGGAATCAAGTGGTCGTAACAAAGTCGTTGTCGAATTAATATTAGCATGTCCTTCCAAACGAGGTTCGTCTGCAAATAATGAACCTGTTTCGGAAGGTTGAGAAGTAACTGAAACACTTCAATCAGGTGCACTCGTCACAATGGTGTAGATGAACTGACCGTCATACACCGCTGTAGGCAAATTTTGATCGAGGAGCCGCGAGTGAGAAGACATTAGACGTGCACGAAGGGTATCAAACGTTGCTGCATGAGGAGACCGAAATGATGATTCGGATCCCTTGCTGGATTCTTTGATTCATATTGTGATGAGATGCCAAAGATGATGAAGTAAAGGAAATCGACGCACTTGGTTTATCGCCCTCGTCATCACTTAGACTTTTTCTTTTACCCTTATGCTGTTCCCTTTCACGGTCGACAACAGGAGTAATGTCCATCTCACTGGTGTCAAAACTATTTCTGCGTGGTCTCGATTTCTGTGGTGTGTCCCCAGGCTCACGTCTGGCACGAGAGAACAAATCCTTCAGGCTGTCCCGAGTGATACTTGGAGTGGCAGGTGTAAAACGAGAGGACACAGAGCCAGTGCCATCTTCTGACAGTTGTGCAGCGGGTCTTGTAGGAGGGGATTTTCCATTGGGCGAATCGGATGAACGTGCTAGCAAGGCGCGGAGGCGTGCTGCAGGAGTTTCAGAGGGTGTCACAGACGAAGTAGATGGTCCAAATTCTGAATTTGGACCATAGCTATTTGAAAAAGAAGCTATGTTTCTGAGTGGCATACGAGGAGTAGGTTGATTGTCGTCTTCATCATCGACGACATTGAATTGTGATCGCGCGGAAGAAGGGACTGCGACTGGGGTAAAGTCCATATCACTACCGTCCTGAACACGAGGATTTGGCGTATAGCGGTTAAGCCTTAGACGAGGCCTTGACAGTGAATTTGATGAAGGTGTATCCATGATCGGCGACCTCGTCGGCCAAAGTACTGGCTGCGTGAAGCTTTGAAGCGTGTTTCCAGCGTGTTCGACGCGCTATAATTGTGCTTAAGCTTGTGATAAATTAGGAAATAAATCCCTTGACAAACAAAACAAATTACTCTGAATAGACGTAAAGCACAAGGCGATGGTCTTACTACCTTGTCACAGGTTTCTCGGACCAGCTAGCTTTGCAGACAGCGTCCTCACACAAGTTTCAGGATCTCGTCCCTTGGGCCCATCTGCACAATGGTTCGCAGGACATGCATTGTGTGGGAGAACGTGCCTTCACAAAATCCTACCTTTGCAAGCTCTTGAAGTGCGTACCGGCGGTTCGCATGCGCATTGCAGGAGGCCATCTTGACCAGGACGATGTCTTCCCTATCACGCAACTTGGCCTGTCAAAACCTGGAGAACAGGACGCATATTTATATTTTCCGTGGTCTTTACAAAGTTTTCGCTCGCAGAAACTGTGAACATCCCAGGCAATATCCAAAAGATACAACGCTCGACCTTAGCTTTAGGTTAGACGCCGTGACGATATCAGTTGGTAGCTGACGCTGCCAACTTAATTTCGCTGGAGGTTTGCCAGAGGCAAACTGGAGAGACTTCCGTTATGCACTGCACTCGACGATATTTAGGCCTTTTCTCTACTGTCTTTTCCTTACGAAGCTTTCTTATTTCCATATTTTTGGCTCATTCACTTCGTTCAAATCTAGCTACTGATTTTGAAGAGGTCCCATAACCTAATAATGTGCAGCCAGTCTCGGTAAAAGACTTGAGCTGGTCACATTGCTTGTTATAGTGATGTAGAGAGCGGCAGTCTGAGTGACTGATGAAAAGGTGAGTAGTATGCACAATTCTCCAATTCTTTAGAGAGAAATTTTCAAAACGGTTCTCGAAAAGGACTTATTGACATTGGCAAAACTAATCGTTACATCTTACACACCAGTCCACGCTACTAATTTATATCTTCTTGCGACGTGTCCTATCAGTTGTAGCAAAGCACCGCGTACTCCTGCAATACCATATCAAATTAGATCTTATCAACCCTATTGGCATCTGTACTCACCTTAACCTTCTTCTCTGTGGAGTCGTAAGGAATGAAGCAACCATCACCGAACGACTCGGACGCCTTCCCTGGGTGCACGGCTCCGTGGTAAGGAGCTTGGGCAATGTATTGAGGAGCACCTCCAGGCTCCCGGCCACCTTCGACAGGTCGAAGTCCATTAGAGCTGCCAAGTTGAATTGGCCAGAAACGTTAACCCAACGGACGGCTTGAGAGTTCCCAACAAGGATTTCGTATGTATCAAGCTGTTCCAACGAGTTCAACAGATGGTAACAGCCCAGTTTGGTTTGCACCTACGTGGATCTCTTCCTTCTTGTAGCCGATCACAGCTCCTTTTTTGAAGACAGAGCATGCCTTTCCGACCACTGGAGTGGACACCATTCAGTCAAAATTATGGATATTATCATTCGAAACGCACTGAGACCACCCTATAAGAATCAAAATGAGTGGCTGGCCAGTAAACAAGGCTGTCGGACTTGCCTCATAGTAAGCACGGCAAATATACAAAGGCGCGCCACGCTCAAAGCCACCTTCGATGGCATTTGGTGGGATGTTCTTACCCTTAATGAGGACCCATGCTACTGGACCAGGGTAATTTCCGCTTCGGAAGGCCTGGGTACGTTGCTCCGCATCACGGAGCCAGTTGCCCTGCGACCAAACGTGCGCCCTTTTCTGCAGAAAATCAGAGTGTCAGATCTGTATCGATTTATGGTGAATACCACGTATACCTCCTCTTCACTCTTGTTGTGGTGATTGTAGGCAAAAACGCCAGCGGCAAGGGCACCGACACCGGCCAGGACGCCCCCTCCGATCTAATGTACAAGACACATGTGATGATGTGAGCAGTCTATACGAGGAAGAAAACATACCTCCAGCTCATGCCTCCTTTTTTCATCAATGTCAAACCAGTGCTGCTGACTCTCCTGATGAGTCGGTTGGATGCCGCCTTGAGGGGAATGGTAAGGTTGCTGTTGTTGCTGTTGTTGTTGTTGCTGCTGCTGAGGAGGAGGAGGTTGGTTGCACGGTGGAGCACACGGGTCAGACTTGCAGTCCCCGGCCCATTGACCAGAATTCTCATGATGAGGACTGCGCTGGCAATCGCCACCTTCCAGGCGTCCCCAAAGGGCAGGTGTCACGGGCGGAGTCCAGTCACTCTGGACGGAGCTCGTTGGTCAGTCCGACAATGAGTAGCACTGACTAGTGGGTTACCTGGGACCGGTGAGGCTGAATGATCTTGTACTGGACACCTGCAGGGGATTGGTTTATTACTCGGAGTAGAAGATCGATGGAAACGGACCTTCATAAAGGACCCTTGCACCGTCATTGTACTGAGTTCCAGGTTGCCAGTAATCAATCATGTTGTGCTAGAGTCTGCGGAAAGTTGACAATTGGAGTGGGGTTGTTTGTGTCGCCATCAGCAGACTTATATCCCTTTCACTTTGCGCCGATGATGATGCCGCATCTCCAGATACTTGTTGGAGAAAGAGGGTCTTGACTGCTCCCGGAATTGAGCTCAAATTATGGGGTGGTCTTTTCAGGATCTGGCCTGATCATCTTCAAATATCAACGGGCGGACCTGATCAGCTGTCCATTATCTGATTTCCACGAGGCAATGACAAGGACTAAGAGATATGATCGTGGCATGAGTTGGCCTCGAGGCATACAAGATAGTATGGAAGACGCTTGAATTTGTCGTGGAGTATCTCCTTCTGAACATGGCGACTGATCGTGCAAATGATGGCATCGAGCAGGTGGGGCCCTTCCGAACCACAGAAAAAAGTCTCCAGTGACTTGTGAGGTAGTAAGAGGACTGATTATCGGAGGGTCCTGGTCACAGCATTCGAGGATATTGGCAAGAGTGAAGATTTGACCTGTGGTTCGTTTATGGCACATTGTTACCAGCAGCTTGTTTTCACCCCGGATCCAATGAACTTGAATGAAGGGATCTCAACTCTACTGAGCTGCTTCTTCCTGTCATTGCTGTGAACACGGTCGCCTGAAGAAAGTAATCGAGGAGTCGAATGACGCCGTCTTATCAGGTCTCTGGAGCCGAATGGAAGAGCACAGCCTTTTTAAAGACTCACGAATGCGAATTTCCAGCAGGATGAGCGCACGTTCAACATGGCATGTGTCTACTTATATACGTAACTTCCACAGGCTCTGCTCAGGGTATCTATTTCAACTTGTACCACCTCCATCGATAACGATCAATCTGTATTCACCATGAATACAATCGAGCCAGTTTTTGGCATCATTCCCACTATTCAGAACTACGATTGGGGGAAGAAGGGAAAGGACTCCAAGGTTGCGGAGTTTGCTCCTGGGGCCGGAATATGTGGATTTACTTTGAATCAATCAGCTCCTTACGCCGAAGTAGGTGATCTAGAAGCACAGTCTGCAGCGGATCTGACAGATGAGCGTGCATGACCAGCTTTGGATGGGCACGCATGTGAAGTCGCCGTCGGGAGTGATTGATAGGAAGCAGAATCTTACCCAGATCTTGACTGAGAACCCTGGCTTCATTGGGCACCAGGTATCTCAGCGGTTCGATACGACAAATGGAAACCTCCCCTTCCTGTTCAAGGTCTTGGCCATTGGCAAAGCCCTGAGCATACAAACTCATCCTGACAAGAAGACATCAGAGAAACTTCATGCCGAACAACCGACAGTTTACACTGGTGAGAGTTCTTGTTGACGTGGCCCTCAAGTCCTCACGCATAAGTTGTGCGAAGATCCGAACCACAAGCCTGAGATGGCCTTGGCGTTGACAGATTTCAAGGCGCTGTGCGGTTTCATGCCAATCACGAGGATCGCTGAATACGTCAAAGCCGTTCCCGAATTCAATTCGCTAATCGATTCGTCTATCGTGACGGAATTTCTGAACTTGTACCAACTTGCCTGAGTCAGAGCAGAAGGCAGTCCTTAAGAAGCTCTTTGCAGCACTCATGACCGCTGACGTTTCCAGTATTGCAACACAACTTCGGACACTCGTTGCGCGTTACCAACGCGGAGGTCAGAAACCTCTAGAAGAGGATGTCAAGGATCTTGTCCTGACATTGAATGAGCAATATCCCGGAGATGTCGGAGTATTCTGCGCATTCATGCTAAATTTCGTCCGAATGACTCCTGGGCAGGCTATTTTCCTGGGAGCTGGAGAGCCCCACGCTTACGTTGAAGGCGGTATGTCTTTCTCTGCTGGTATTCAGCTCACTTTAATGATGATTTGCAAGATATCATGGAGTGCATGGCCAATTCGGACAACGTCATTCGCGCTGGTCTTACCCCTAAACCCAAAGACATTCCCAATCTTGTTTCGGTTTTGACCTATACGCCATCAGATTGGCAAAAACATATGGTCGAGCCGGTTGACATCACACCACGCACCCGGAAATATGATCCCCCAATTCAAGACTTTACGGTTCTCCAGGTCAAGACCCAGAAGGGCGAGACCGAAACTCACGAGGCTATTCCAGGTCCTTCAATCGCAATCGCTACCGAAGGTTCCGGCCGGGTAAGCTGGAGTGGTGGCGAGTTAGACTTACAAGCTGGAAGCGTCATCTTCGTGGGAGCTGAAACTAAGATAAAGTTCACTGCCGGAGACTCCGAATTGGTTGTATTTCGCGCGTATGTCACAGCCTAACTAGGTGATAGCACAATTAGCAGGACAGAGGATCAATATTAATGGTTGAGTGTCCGCATCCCGGACATAAATAACGAACGATATCATTAATATTATCAACGATACGACAGAAGCCTTGATATTCTACACTTCGAGTCCTTGGGCGTCGTGGACCCTATGTTGAACACGTTCTCGTCATACACTTGGTTTGTGTGATCTGAATCTCGGACACTCGAAACTATTTATCATCGTTCCAAACCTTCCGAGAGTCGATGGGAGAGGTGTAGGGAGTCCTGAGCAAAATCACAGGCTTATCATGCTGCAAACAAGGGCTCGTGATGTCCACTAGATTCGAGTCATGGCCACGAGGAATGGCCAACAAGGAACGATATCTCAATCGGAGTAGAGCCTAGCCCGCCGCTCTCGAAGACCAGACGATGTGTGATGACACGAGATGGCAGGGTCCATACCATTTACTGTACACATTCCGGTAGTGTCCACCCGAGGACATCCAGTAAATAAACACTCTGGGGCCAAAGTCTGGCGTCCAAATCCCTGACTTTCTGTCACATGTCAAGCAAAGGTCTATGTCCGTATGCGTCTCGTGTGGGATAGGGAAATGACTGGCTGCAAAGTACGCAACAGGACTTAATTCCATGTGATCCTCAAGGCTGCCAGTTTGACTGTGGTAATGTGATATTCTACCGCTGTCCATTGCGCGATGGCTGTTCAAACGTCCATCCAAGTCTCGGGATCTTACACTTGATCACGGTGAGGTTGATGAAAAAGGAAGTGATAAAAAAGTATTCATCCACAGACATGGAAATGACATCGCGACGTGGAGAGTGATTCCAGGTTGGTCTAGACAAAACACGCGGCCCGGCCGCGCAGTGTGGCGCAAGATTCGCACCAAATTTTTGTTTGTGTGACAATGTTTGCCCAAAGGGGGGGCAACTTACATAAACTTGTCCCACAATGGCATAGGATGGTACTACTAGAAAACAACTTAAAAGCAAGTGCTTTAACGGTCATCATGCTCCCCTCAATTGTGCTCTTCGCAGGTCTCGTTAACCTTGTGTCTAGTGCAGCTGTGAATAATATACGACCCCTAGTAATATGGCACGGAATGGGTGACACCTACGCATCTCCTGGTATGGACAGCTTTCAGAGTGAAGTCAAGGAAATGTACCCCGGCATATTCGTCCACTCCATCTTCATCGACGAAGACCCAAATGTAGACCAGCGTGCAGGTTTCGTGAGTATTAATACTGCCGTTATACGAATTTCTAACTGGTATCCGTCAGTATGGCAATGTGAACCAACAAATCGTGCAAGTTGCCCAGCAGCTCGCTGAGATGCCCGAGCTAAGCCGCGGTTTCGATGCCATAGGATTCTCACAGGGAGGTCAATTCCTTCGTGGCTACGTGGAACGCAATAACAGCCCGCCTGTGCATAACTTGATCACCTTTGGGTCACAACACATGGGTATATCAAGTTTACCAGCCTGCAACACGTGGGATCTACTTTGCCAGGTCGCACGTCGAGCAGCAAATAGGGGTGTGTATAGTGAATGGGCACAGGAGAATCTTGTTCAGGTTTGTCAGAAATCCCCCTCATGCATCATGCCACCATTAATTCATTCATCATCAGGCTCAGTATTTCAGAGACCCGCACCGACTCTCGCAATACATGGAGTCAGGGAGCTTTCTACCGGACATCAACAATGAAGTCTTGCTCCCGTCTTCTCGCAATCTATCATACGCAGATAACCTTGCCTCGCTAAATAAGCTTGTCCTTGCCCTCTTCCTCCAAGACAAAACTGTAGTCCCAAAGGAGAGTGCTTGGTTCGGCTCCGAGCAACCTCTTGAAGACATCACTATGGACCAGGCATCTGGATCCCATCAGACGCCGATGCTCGGTGGAGTGAACACCAAAGACATCATCCCGATGCGTCTACAAAACCTTTACAAAGAAGACTGGATAGGCCTTCGACAGCTTGACGAACGTGGACGTATTGACTTTGTGGCATGTCAGGGAGAGCATATGCAAATCGGTGACTGCTGGAGAGATTTGGTTGCTGAGTGGGTGGGAGGATCTCTGGGCGCAGATTGAGGTACATCCTGACAGGATGCGCCACACTGACATTACACAGCCTGTACACTGCCAACGCTTGTTCGGCGTGCCACTATTGATTGGGTCGTGTTCTATGTGAAACAGACACTGCGCCACGATTTGTCCCACTAGCTGTTCACATCATGTAGTACTCAAAAATATTATACAAGTGTCACATTGGCATTAATCGCATGATTTTCCCGGCTATTCCCATTTGTGCACCCATAGCGCTCCGAATCCGCTCCGAATAACGGCAACAATAAACTGGTGAAAGTTCACGCTCACTTGTGCGAAGTTTAAGTGCCTTCTCAATTTCTTACTCACTTGAGTCACCTCGACATTCATTTCCTTGCTCGTCCCCTTTAAGTCATTACCAATGTCTGGTGCAGCATCTGCGGCCGCAGGGTCGAAATTCTCCGCATTCATGAACCATCCAGCTGGTGCGTGGGATGTTGGTTGATGCAGAGATTGGCGCTGACGCACGTCTTGGTCGCGGCAGGTCCGAAGACAGTTTTTTTCTGGGCGCCATTGATGAAGTGGTGTCTCGTTGCCGCTGGTGTAAAGGACTTGAGTCGGCCAGCAGATAAACTCAGCATATCCCAAAACGTTGGTGCGTAGATGTGTCATTGACTCACTATTCCCTGATTAAGTTGTTCCCGGATAGCGCTCGCATGCACAGGTTTTATCTGGGTGAGATACTCAGTGGTCATTACCCCGGTTAACTACAGTTTGGCAGCGGTAAGGGTCGTCAAGTTTTCGTGACGACGATAACTCATGCCCCATTGTACAGGTGAACTTCTTTGTTGGCTCTACCGGTTTAGGGCAGTTGGCTCGGATCGCAAAGTGAGTTGTAGGCCAAGCAGGAGTATGAGTTCTATGCTAACGGTCGAGCAAGTCTCCGATACAACGGAGAGGCAGTCAAAGCTTGATTTGTTTCTTTTGAGAGTTTCACTATGTATTCATGCTTTCTTTGCAATGTCACTTTGGTCGAAGCTCCGCGAATCGTTCTTATTCGAATCATATACGCTGATATATAATAAGTGTGCCTACGCTTGAAACACGTATCATCGACTCCTACTCTTCTTCGTTCTGTCGCTGTCACTGCTAGTGGCTTTATCATCGGAGGTCGGCCCGTCAAAAACCCCCCGAGCTGCGTCCCACCATCCACCTTCCGCTAGTAAGCGATTGGCAGCTTTGGCGATGTTTGACATGATCTTTTGAGCGTCATTCCCTTCTTGATTCCCGTCACGCTCCTGATACTGCCATTGCCTGTGCTTCTCAAATGACTCCCACGATTTGGGACGGTCATTTGACTTGCGTTGCGTACGCGTCTTGGGTGATGTACCAGGAGTGGTCTGGGTTTGCTCATTCAGCACGTTCGAAATGAATCCGGCTAAGCTAGAGATGATGCTTGTGCTTCCAACACCCGCATTCTGCCCCATATACCACCCCAGCCCAGCAGTAAGCGCTCCGAAGATGGTTCCCCACTTGATGAACCAGATACTGGTTCTAACCATCCAACTAGTAGTTCTATATAGACTGACTAGTGCGAGATATGCGGCAAGGAAGCTGATAAGAGGAGGAAGGATAGTTTGTGCATCCCATTGCCATGGTTTGGAGGAAATTAGGGACGAGATCAGCGAAAGAAGCGCTGTGAATAATGCAAGCGAGTGCGAGAGAAATGAGAGCAGAAATGAATACAGAGGTGGGGGAAGCTGATCAGCGAGGAAGTTAAGGAGGGGGTCTAGAAAAGCTGGCAGTGGGATGTCTGCCGGATCCATGGTTGCTATTATGTGCTATGGATTGCTCAATGCTTGAGCTTGAGTTTGAATCTCGAGTTTCAAGTTGTGGTCAGGGCTTGTGTGACACGTCAAGCTTGCGACGAAGTACGTTAACATGCTGTTGTGTGGCTGTGTGATGTCACGTGCACAGCAAGTTACAGAATGGAGAAAGAGAAATTAGTAGGAATCAACCAATCGGATCGGATCGGCATGATACCAGCCGATCGAGCCGACCACCGATTATCGCTACTCCGACATTTCCTGTGAAGTGTTCGCTCCGCGAATATGCACCAAACATTAACAAATCTGATCGTGTATAAGTTCGAGCTTTATATCAGCTTTCCTCCTTTCCCAAGAACTCTACCGTATAGCTTCATCTGCCTATACATACCCACTAGCGCCCTTTCATATCATGGCCATGAAGCGCAAATTCGACTTTGATGCTACTGACGACTGCCCCCAGGTCATTTTATTTGGTCTATCTTATTTTACTTCCCCACTAATACTTGCTCATATCAGGTCGCCAAGCAACTGAAAATGGTTCCCTTCCCGAACTATGAACCCGACGCTGATGCTCTTATGTCTGAATCTCCTTCACATGATGATGTCCTCTCGTTTTTCCCTGAAAACTATCATACTCGCCTTCATTCTACTGCCAGCTCGTCAAGTGGTTCATCTCTATATTCGGATGCCATCGACCATAACTCTCGTATGTGCACCTGAAGCTTAGATGATACCAATTCTCACTGGCATCTACGTATTTTCATACAGCTCTGTACCCTCGTCTCGCCCAGGTCGTCGATTATCCAGCGGACAACTCTGACAAGGCGGTTGGACTGTTACAACCTGCAAGTTCTTTCACTCACCATGGGTAAGTATAAGGAGACCTCGTCCTCGATTATGATTCTGACTTGTTACTCCCTCCCTTCTGCCTCCATAATGCCGTGCTTTTTATAGCTCGCATTGCTCACAAATACCCAAGCTTCGTGTTGCCTGTTCCGCCGGTCCCGATGGCTCAAGGACAATGTGGAGCTTTTGTGAACAATGCGGCGCGATTTCCATGGTGGATTCTGACTGAAGTCGTCGACATGCTCGGCAGCCGTTTTTTTATCTTTTTTATTTTGCTGATTATCCTTTGTGTTTTTCTTTCCCTCTGGTTCAACTGGTCACGTCTGTTTCCGACATCGATCGCATATTCGCCTTTCGCCGCTAAAAGTTACCATCACCTCTATCTGCCTCCTCCGACTTCACCGCCCTTCTCGTGATCAACGCCCGATCAATCTCCGAACCTCTGACAACCACTCGACATCAAAACATAGGCCAAATATCATAATGCACTGCTACGTTTGCTAAATATGCTCTCACTGTACATATCTTGTCCCGTTGTAACACAAGTTACCATGCTCTGTTGCTTTGACACCAATTACGTGTGAAGTTGGTCTGATCAGCGATATTTCCAAAGTAACTTAAGCTTCAGCCCTGCCTCAGGTTTCAAGATAATCCCTTTGAATTTTCACTTGCTAAGTATATCGAAAGTTTGATCGAAGTTATACAATTACTCCGTAACGCACGTCCACGCCACATCAAACACTTCTTTAGCTACTGTCAGCGTGCGCTATGACCCAAACAACTTTGCTTCAGTATGAAGCACCATGTAAGTCCAATACATGGTCACCACTTCTCGAACATACTTGGTAACCTTGATCAGGGCCTGTACATGCGCTTGATTGGTGCAAGTCAACTGCACCTGGACATCAATCTCGTCCACGATCGGCTTTCCGTCTCGGAATTGCATCCTTCTCTGAAGACTATCGGAATCGGATTGCTATCGTAGGACTTCAAGATGAGCGCGTCCTTGTTGAGGATGATTATACCGATTACCCCGACTTTGTGACGCTGGTAGAAGCAAACCATGGATACCCAGCAACCAATCTGCAATGGCAACCCGCGAGTGCGAGCGGTTTCCAATGGACTGGCAAGGCGCCAGCTGCAGAGCTACTTGCCACGACTGGAGATGCGCTGAGGGTATGGGAGTATTTTGGAGATGCACCGCCAGCGTCGTCGGCTTATGTTGGGAGGCAGCCCACGGGCGGAGGGCATCGGTTGACACTTAAGACGGCACTGTCTGGGGTACGTGATTGCAAACCCACGCCCTGATTGAAAACACTGACGCCTCTGTGTGTATCAGCAATCCAAAATCCAAAACCAGTCCACTGGTCCACCATTAACCAGTTTCTCTTGGAACGAGAAAGCCCCCAGCTTAGTTGTCACGTCATCAATAGACACGACGTGTACCGTGTGGAACATCGATACATCCACTGCCATAACACAACTCATTGCCCACGATCGAGAAGTTTACGACGTTGCATGGCTTCCGGGATCGACAGATATATTCGTATCGGTTGGAGCAGATGGCAGTCTTCGTGCGTTTGATCTACGGAGTCTAGAGCATTCTACCATTTTGTACGAAACACCGGCACCCAAAAGCGGTCCGCCCGCAGCCTCAGCATCATCGCGTCTACCCACATCACCTCTACTGCGCATCGCATTCAACCCCGCTGACTCAAATTACATGTCCACATTTCATATGGATGGACAGGATGTGCAGATTTTGGATATGCGGAGTCCTGGTCAGCCGGTGATAGAACTGAGAGGGCACCGCGCGCAGGTAAACGCGATGGGATGGAGCACAACAGATAGACCAACACTGGCTACCGCAGGTAAGCACTGCGATCAATCAACTCGTGCCTGTGTTCGACCTGAACTTCATATGCAGGGGATGATTGCCAAGTTCTACTATGGGACCTCGCTACGTACACACAAACGGCGACCTCTCCCCGCACTGCAAATTCTCGCTTAAATTCGCCGCGGCCAGACGTGAAGAAACGTGTGGTCACCGATCCGATAATGGCCTATTCTGCGAGCAGCGAAGTGACCAACCTCGCATGGTCTCCTCAGATACAGGGGATGACGATGAATACGGGTCACTCGACAGCGCCTGGAGAGTGGCTAGCGATTGCGAGCGGGAAGTTTATCAAGGCGCTCAAGGTGTAAATTTTATTTGCTGGGGGATCGGAATGGTGGTTACAGCAGTTGTACTTTAAATGGGAGTGCGCTTGGCCTTTTGAGCTGTGCATTCTATCTATGGCCATGACAGATCCTGGCTTATCCCTCTTTCCCGCTATCTTCGCTATCTCACAAACGTCCACCGCCCATTTGTTTTTATATACCTCATGTCTCATGATGTCGCGCTTGACGGCAATAATCTGTGTAGGTTAGTTGAGGTGTAAAATGTTGTCTGAATATTGTTACAGTATATATATTCGTAGTATTTATCGAACAATGTATACTGCGATCTGAGTCCGCGGGGCTGATATAAATAGATCGGACTTGCCCATCTAGATAAGAACTTGAATACTTATCATTTATATTTATTTATTTATCACTCGTTTCTCATCTCACAGGCACTTTTGCTTGACCTCTGTGGTTTTAATCGACGGGAGACTCCATCTTGGATGGAATAATATATTGTTGTAATGAGCCCTTCACAGTCCTCGGCTTACAGTCCAGTAAGGCAACTAATTCGGGCCGGTTACGAGTTGCTCCTCCTCGGCGAATGCAAAGTTCCGCATTGGCTCCGATAAGTTTCTCCATTTTTCCTCTGGTGTCCGCACTTGTCTTTCGTATATATTTTATTTTGCCGGGAATTTCAAAAAAAAAAAACCGGGTGCACGCATGCCCAGGAACTTAGGATCAGGATAAGTATCAGGCTATCGCATGACGCCGCATACGACCTGTGATAAAGATGAAACCACATGTACGGAGGTTGCTCGGGGCCCCAATTGATATTAAAGAGGTCGTACAATTGACGCTCATCTCTCTCTGTGTTTCTTCCGGCCCCCCAACATGGCAGCTCCAGCAGGCGATTTCGATGTGGAGAACAAGTTCTTGCACAGAAAGACGTCCGTCTCCACGAACTCTGATGGAAACCGGGAAACCGCACGCGTTGTAAACCCTGTGGGCGATCTGGAGAGCACAGAGGAAAAGGATGAAGGGACGCAAGCGAATAGCACGTTCGATAAGAGACTGCGTGTTGTCGTCCTAATTGCCCTCGCTGCACTCATCCTTGGGTGGTGGATATCCTCTACCATTTTGACAGCGACACGTGGACAATGGTATGATGTGTTCTCCGAGTCTTTCAATTAACAAACCTTTATTCTTTTCAAAGGGTCGTGCGGACAGTTTTCGCGTGGTCCTTCTTACTGTAAGTAGTGATATCTACGCAATAATATCTCTTTTGCTTATTATCCGTACTCTCAAGCATTATCGCGTTCCGCTTCATACCCAATTCGGTAGTGACGGAGCCTATCGCTGCTATATGGATACCATGCGTCCAGGTGCCTTGGTACAAGCTTCCTCGGACAGCGAGACTGACAATTGGATGGCTTTGCCTTCTTGCCATCGTGTTTGGGTCTGCTTTCGGATTACCACTCACTGGCGTGAGTTCCGTTGCCTTGAGTGAAATTGTGACAAGCTGACTTCGTTGTAGAACAGCGACTATGGACATCGAGCAATTTCAGTACTTGGGTTGTTTATTTTCCAGTGCGGTTTCTACCTGTGTTCTATAAATAGATCGGCAATTTGCTGGTTGGTGCCTCCTTCTCGGCTTAGTGCATCTGCTGATTTGAATTGCAAGGCCTACCGTGATAGTCGGCCTTTTCCTTCAACAAACTATTGCTCTTTTTGTGCTCAAGACCGGCGCTGGGTTTTCCCTCTTCAAATACATTGCAGATCTCGCAAACGACTTTTTGTCGGAAGCTGATGTCGGAGCTACGTTTTTCTTCGATGCAGCCACCGTTGCGAAGGGTTGGTTTTTTGTGAATGTGGTATGAGGAGGGTTGTGTCCTCGAGCTCGAATGCAACCTGATAAAATTATAGCTCTCCGCGGTAATATTTTTCATCGCCACAATTCAAATGCTGTACTATGTCAGTGACTAGGCCCTACTCGGAGTCCTCAATGCTAACTTGTACCAAAGCTCGGCGTCATGCAATGGATGGTCAAAGGATTGTGAGTACATGAACCACATTATTCATCGAAGAGCGAGATTCATTGTTTTCATAAGTGCATGGTTATTCTTCAAGCTCATGAACGTATCTGGCGCTGAGGCGGTCGTTGCGGCTGCTTCTCCTTGGGTAGGCCAAGGAGAGTCTGCGTGTTTGGTCAAACCTTATGTTGATATCATGACCCCATCGGAACTTCATCTTTGCATGACTTCTGGTTTGTTCACCATATTTTGCCAACGGAACGTTAATATTTATGAATTCAAGGTTTCTCCACTATCTCCGGATCTGTTTTGACCGCCTACGTTGCCCTGGGTGTTCCACCCCAGAATCTTATCACTTCATCTGTCATGAGCATACCTGCTTCTATTGCCATCAGCAAGATGCGGATTCCCGAACTCGACGAACCTGTTACTCGTGGCCACATAATAGTGGACCGCGGGGACGAGGGAAAGGAACGGCCAGTCAACGCTCTTCACGCATTTTCTTTGGGAGGTCTGTTTGGTCTAAAGGTCGCGGGACAAATCCTGTGAGCTCCTTGAAACGGCCATCAACGAGTCACTCAGCTTATTTTTATAGCACTAACGTGTTGACGATCCTGTCGCTCGTCGCCGCTATCAATGCCGTCTTGACATGGGTCGGCCATGGATTCGGCATCCACCAGCTTACTTTACAGCTAGTTTTGGGATACATCGGGTATCCTCTCGCCTTTTTCTTGGGTCTGGATGCATTTCTGCGATCTTGAGCTACCCAAGCTGATATCTCGCTAGGTGTCCCCAGCAATGAGATTCTCCGAGTCTCACAACTGTTAGCGACGAAGCTAATTGAAAACGAATTTGCTGCATATTTAGGTACTCTTGTGATCCTAATTCACGGACAGGTAGCTGATGACTGAATTCTTGCAGAACTATCAACCATCCAAGCGAGTTCAAACCCCCTGTCGCAGCGTGCCTTCACGATTGCATCATATTCGCTTTGTGGATTTGCAAATCTCGGATCGCTAGGTATACAGATTGGTGTGCTCGGCGCTTTGGCACCATCGCGGGGCAAAACCATTGCGACACTTGCGACGTCTGCTATGTTTTGCGGATTTATTTCGTGCGTTCTTGATTTGTCTAGTGTTCTATTTAGTGATGAGAGCTTTTCTGCAGAACTCTCCAAACTGCTGGTATCGCGTGAGTACTTTTATGGTCTTGGTCGTGGCATCTAGAGCTAACTCTATCTCTCTTAAAGCGGCATGCTGGTATAATACGAAGGGTATCATGGGACCAGAATCACTGAGCCGTGGCGCTATATCTTGTCGTCGTTAATACCTGACCCTTCACTATGAGGGCAAGATACATTGTGAATGATACGTACTTCCAGCTAAATGCCAACTCATACAGGTGACACTCGTCGAGGGTCAGTTCAATGTGTGTTGATCCCTCCTTGGGCGGAGGATACACTATAACGGCTTTAGCTGTCAATTCTAAACGACAAGATAATCGATCCCAGCATTATTGTGAGGATTGTACATCCTCCAAGCGCCGATCCAGTGCTTCGGAACAAGGCAAAATCCGGTCTATCGATATGAAAGTAGCACGCAGCTGCTTCGCTGATAGATAATCAGAACCCATCAGCGATAGAAGCAGTAGAAGTGCCCACTGGCAGAAAGCCCTGCCAAGGGCCAAACACTGGGATCAATCAAGGTGATACATCACCTCTACAGCTGCTAGCCGTGCTGTGCTGTGCACTGATTTATGCATCGCATTTATTCAGTACATTAGGTTACGCTGACTCCGGTATATAGATGTCAATTGGCACCCCAGGTTGATCAGGCCCTCCCTGACATGTGACGCGGACGTGGCGTGCTTATCAACGTCAGATAGTGGCATGGCTATGCACCATTATCGCAGCGGCGCCTCTGGCACTGATCTGATTTCAGTACTGGTTTCCTTCAATCATATCCCAAAGTCATCTTTGCTGGTTCAATTTTCAGTAACGATTGCGTTGCTTCCCACCGAAATTCAAGTTGGCCTTTCGACTTTGTCCACGGTGAGAGTGACGGACGGCGTTTGCTGTCATTGCAATCCTCGGCACATCACATTATAGCTCTTACTATATCTGATGTGACTCAAGCTTTCGCTGTGCACCGGTTTGTAGGCTTAAAATAACTGGGACAATTTCAAATTACTAAATTCATACTAGTGCATTCCTCTATCGAATATCGTACTTAAGTAATATGCTTGCAGGGCTTCAAAGCTTCATTCAGGACTGGCAAGTAGGTACTTCTACAAGGCACATACTGAGTACCTAAATCCTGATGTCTTTCCTACTACCGGTCTCAGACCTAACGAATCTGCAGACTGTCAAGGTGAGTAAAGGACGGCTTGTCTCTGATAAACTTGAGGTTAACATTATGTTCGATTTAGTACGCCAATTGTGAGTGTCCGCGGATCATCTAAAACTGAACGGCGGCATTGACTATTTTTCTAGTGGGTAGTCTTGCAATCCTCGTGAGTATCAAACACATTTCTTGTGTTTCCACCTCAAATTTCTTGCAGGTGTTTGACTATTGCATCACCTTTTCCGAAGAGGTCGAGAAAATATATGTCTATTCGCGACTGTTGTTCTGACCACACCCCACAGGTGCAGTGGACCTGGTCCAGACCATGGGATGTAACTCGTGTCATATTCATCATCTCCCGATATTTGCCTTTCGCGGGGGTTGGAATGACTGCATATGGTGAGTGACCCACTTCGATTCTCCTTATCTTGTGTTGCTGATGATCATATCTTAGACGCACTACGTGTCAGCAATCAGGTAAGCCTGGGTGACGAATAGTTTCTACGCTAAGCTGATTGCATGGAGAAAGTGTGCCTCTACTGTGGAAGGATATAGTGAGTCTACCTGCCAAACGGTTCATAAACTCATGCAAATTGAACAATGTGAATTCCAGTCATTCACGTCCTAAGTATCGCTGCTGCGGAAGGTGCGCGTTCTACATGCATGTTAAGAGCACAGTGGGTCTCACTTCTTTGGTAGCCTTGCTGGTTATCCGGACCTGGGCATTCTGGCAAAAGAGTAAAAATTTGCTGATCGGATTAATTGTTTATAGCGTGGTGCGTGTTTTACAGCGCAGGAATGATAGCATAGGTTTTTATTATTGCATAGTTGACAATCATCGCCGCCATTGCTGCAGACTTGGCTCCTACAATGATGATTCCAGGAGGTGAGTTCATTAGTGCTCACGAACGAAAGTCGTTCTAATATAACTATCAGAGGAGCCCCCTCTAGGAACCTGTTACTTCGAGAGCACACGTAACGCTGCGATCGTTTACTTGTTCTTGGTGATATTCGAAAGTGGTCAGTGATCGTCCAACGCTATCTATTGGCATTCTCACCCATAACAACTTGGCAGTGATGCTGATCCTTAATGTATATAAGAGGATTCGCGACTATAAAGACTTTCAGAGCGGAATTATAGTAACCCTATACCACGGTGGCATGTTCTACATGTTTTGCATCCTCTGTGCGTGGAAATAGTTGGTTCTCGAGATGTTATTGGCTAACGCGTTCAAGGAAGCCGTCACACTCGCTAATGTTATCTTTGAGGGTGCACTTCCAGTACGTGTCTGGTCTGTCAAATCCTACGACTCGCTAACTTTCTGTTCTTTTCTGCAGAGCGCCTACAGCAATATGTTTGACTCGTACGTCACCGGCTGCACTCTTACTACTAGTTGATCTTGAACCCACTGCGCTAGGCTACAGCTGGTCGTTCACAGCGTCCTGGCATCACGGATTCTATTCCGTCTTCGAGATAGCAATGAACGTGTCCACGTACCGTCCATGTCAGTAATGACATTAGACACTCGGATAAACTATTTACGACCTTCGTCAATGTCGATGAGTGGGATGGGTACTACCAGCGAAGTTCGAGGGAATGTAGCCTAGTAGGTGTACTAGTATAAGGTACCATTGGCCTCTGAGCTTATACTCTTATCCAACGTATAACTCAATTGTAATATTATGATTTATTGGGCAATGATAGTGCGGTCTTAGTAGCTGATAGAGAACGAGAGTGAGGAAGTTACTGTAAACGCCAGAGTCTGGAGGTAAAAATCCGCTACTACTCAGAAGTCCGGGAGGAGATTAGGTCACCCATCAGTGACATGCATCAGTATCAGTAACATCATTGATTATACAGCGTGTTGCATATGAGATTGCAGTGGTACCCCGTGTTTTTGAAAACTCGGCCTCGCTAGCGGAACCGGCACTTTTACACCCTATTGATCAGGTCAAGGGATGTGACATCTTGTATACTGTCCTCTCCGAGCATTGAGCAAGCTGAGATATTTCAATAGCTGTCCTGTGCTGCTCCAACTGCAAGAATATGGTATTCTGGCACATTTCCTGGCTAGTGAATGGCCCCATAACGAACTGACGGAGGTTTCGTTTCATTAAGCGGCAAGCCCTGGCTAGAGTGACATGTCACATCCCTTGACCTAATTAGGGTGTAAAAGTGCCGGTTCCGCTAGCGAGGCCGCCGAGTTTTGAAAAACACGGTACACTGCAATCTCATATGCAACACTGTAACATCAAACAAGCAACCCAGCTAACCTTGATCTAATTAGTAACATTTCAGCTCTGGTCTCCTTCAATTAAATCCTACAGTACATCGTTGCTGGTTCATTTCCCGTAAGTTGCATCTCACTGCAGGCCCTATCAGCGTTTGCAGTCATTTCAATCCTCGACATCTCATATCATAATGCATGGCACCTAGATCCTATTATTATCTCTGATAAGTATCACTGCAGTATCAGTTTGTATCAGGCTTAAAATAACTGAAGCAGTTTCACTGATCCACTAAATTCATACCAATGCCCATCGAACTCTATCACACTTAAGTAATGCTCACCGTCGCTTCATTCAAGACTGCGGACACGTACTACAAGGTGCACACTGAGTACAGTTAATATCCTGATATGTCTTCCCTACTATCGATCTCCGACATGACGAAGTTGCAGACGGTCAAGGTGAGTGAAGGGTAGCTTGCCTCTGATAAACTCGAAGTTAACATTATGATTTAGTACGCCAATTGTGAGTGTCCGTGGATCGTCTAAAAATTGGATGGCAACATTGACTATTTTTAGTGGGTAGTCTTGCAATCCTTGTGAGTATCAAACACATTTCTTGTGTTTCCACCTCAAATTTCTTTCGACGTCGCAGGTGTTTGATTATTGCATCACCTTTTCCGAAGAGGTCGAGGAAATATCTGCCTGTTCGCGACTGTCGTTCTGACCACTCCCCACAGGTGCAATGGACCTGGTTCAAACCATGGGATGTAACTCGTGTCATATTCATCATTTCCCGATACTTACCTTTTGCGGGTGTTGGAATGACCGCATATAGTGAGTGACCCACTTCGATTCTCCTTATCTTGTGTTGCTGATGGTTATATTTTAGACGCACTACGTGTCAGCAATCAGGTAAGCCTGGGTGACGAATAGTTTCTACGCTAAGCTGATTGCATGGAGAAAGTGTGCCTCTACTGTGGAAGAAAATAGTGAGTCTACCTGCTAAACGGTTCATTTTTCAAATTTCATTAATGTGAATTTCAGTCGCTCACGTCATATGTATCGTTGCTGCGGAAGGTGCGCGTTTCACATGCATGTTAAGAGCGCAGTCGATCTCACTTCCTTGGTAGCCTTGCTGGTTATTCGGACCTGGGCATTCTGGCAAAAGAGTAAAATATTACTGATCGGGCTATCTGTTTATGGTGTGGTGCGTGTTTTGCAGAGGGGGAATGATAGCATCGATTTTATGATCGCATAGTTGTCAGTTTCTGCCGCCTTTGCCGCAGACCTCAGTCCTACGATGTTGATTCCAGGAGGTGAGTTCATTGGTGTTCACGAACGAAAGTCGTTCTAAGGTGACTATCAGAGGAGCCACCTCCAGGAACCTGTTACTTCGAGAGCACACGCAACGGTGCCATCTCATACTTGTTCTTGGCGATGTACGAAAGCGGTCAGTGATTATCCAAAGCTATCTATCGGCCTTCTTACCTATAACAACTTGGCAGTGATGCTGATCCTTAATGTATATAAGAGGGTTCATGATTATAAAAATATTCGGAGCAGAATTGTGATAACACTATACCACGATGGCATCTTCTACATGTTGTGCATCCTCAGTGCGTGGAAATAGTTGGCTCTCGAGATGTCGTTGACTAACGCGTTCAAGGAAGCCGTCACGCTCGTCAATGTTATCTTCGGGGGTGCACTTCCAGTACGCGTCTCATCTATCAAGTCCTGCGACTCGCTAACTTTCTGTTCTTTTCTGCAGAGCGCCTACAGCAATATGTTTGACGCGTACGTCATCGGCTGCACACTGACTGCTAGTTGATCTTGAACCCACTGCACTAGGCTACAGCTGGTCGCTCATAGCGTCCTGGCATCACGAATTCTATTCCGCCTTCGACGTAGCAACGGACATGTCCACGCATCCATGTCAACAACGATGGCTAGACACTCAGGTAGACTATTTACAACCTTTGCCGATGTCAATGAGTGGGACGAGGACTGCCAGTGAAGTTTGAGGGAATGTAGGTGTATGCGGAACCATCGGCCTCTGTTAAAATAAGAAGTTTCTGCTCTTATCTGATGTACAACTCAATTGTGATATTATTGGCCAATGATACTGCAATACCTCAGAGAACTTGAACGAACGAAACTATGTTTCGTTCTTGCTTCCTCCAAGCCCAGTGGTTTCGGCGTCAAATCTTCCTCGTTTTCCCCGGTTCCCACAGCTTCTATGACACACTTCATTCACTAGCAAGTGATCATCTGCTTGCTCTAGGAACGACTATGATCAATGCCAACGGGTGTATGGATGTATCCATGTCTGTATCTCGTTCGTTGCTTGACTCTGATGGTCGTGCTTAGCAGTGCTGAGTCAGGCTGTGTAGTTGATATCCGTTAAATAAAAGACGCCAGGTTGGAAGAGAAATCGCACATGGGAGACAAGAAGCCTACGGTAACACACAAGAAGCCCGATTTCTGATTGTACAGGTTCGTGTCGATGGCTATTGTGTTTCAGTGATATTTTCATTTCCGATTTGAGCTGTGGCTGGTAAAGGTTGCGAAACAAAAGAGAGGGCCATCAGATGAAAATCTTTGTCGGGACCTTTATCATGCCGCCATCATGCTCAGCCATTTGATGGGCAGGTGTAAGCAGTGTGAGCCTTATGCAAACTTGCGAGATCAAACTAGTGCTGACTAAGCGAGCAATATTCATTTCCTACTTCCGATCTGACAACGCCTGCCGGGTGCCCATATGCACCCACGCTGATCTGTGCGTTCCAACTGCACTTTAAAAATTGGCACTGGTGATGGAGACGCGGCTTATCAAAAACGTCTGATTTTGACCAGCTGTAAGTTGTTCACCCTGTTCCACTAGACTCTCAATGTCATATGCTAGGCTGACCGTCGATACAGCAGCGCTCATGCGTCCGCCGTCCTCGAGCATCTACTCGCTTAGTTATTGACCCGCGTCTAGTCCTAGACTTTATCCCGACCCCGCCCCAGAACGACGAGCTCATCTGTCGATCAAACCAACCATGTGTTTCAACGCTCAAGGCAAGCATTTTTATGAGCTTTCGTATAGGGTGCGCTCCGACTCCCATCTCCCCTCGTAGTCCATCTATATGGATAGTCCAGATGGGCGATAGGGAAATGGTGATTTCGATGAAAAACCACTGCTTTATCAGCCACCTGGTCTATTGCAATTCTTCGTCTCATAAACGGAATCTTCCCATTGTGCTCCATTCGCCCGAGTCCACCAACTGGTCCAAATGGATTAGCAGGCCTGTTGGGTGACCAACTGTCTCAGCGCACTGATTCGACATGCTACTCAGGATGCCCAGTGGACGATTGTGCCACTCCGATTGATTTCTGAACAACGAAGTCAACCAAAGTCTCACATTTTCGAAGTTATTTCACTTCGGCTGCAACACTGATGCTAGCAAAATCAGCGATCTGATTCCCGATAAATGTGACAGGTCCTCTCCACGTAGTTGCATGGTTCCGCCATCGTTCGTGTCGTCGTCCCTTGTACTAATGTGCATCTTCTAGGATTAGTATCATCATCTCTGATGTTGTGAAAGCTTCTAAATTTTCGAGTTGATGCTTTATCTAGCCTAGCCTCTATTCTGTTACTACTTGATCCTTCTTTCATCGTGCTTCCATTTAGTGCGGGGTTGGAAGTACTTTGTCCATCATGTGGATTGTCCATAATCGAATACTGCTTTCACATCTTCACACGTCATGATCGCACAGCGTGTCGAACACGTTCTCGTCGATCTCATCCACTGTTTCATACTCACGAGTTCACCCGCTACACGAACAGACTGATGCAGAGGCGTCTTGTTCAAGACACTTTGTTCGTCGTCGAATCCAGTATGATTTCATCCAAAGCTTTCGAAGTCCCTTTGTTTCTGCAAAGTCTTAGTCTTAAAGTATTTACCAACTCTATGACTCTCTATCGAAGGCCGTAAATTTCCTGTTGCTCAGCGAACTCGACAAGTTAAATCTTCCTGCTAGACAAGATGGTCAGCGATTGTAATATAGTCAACCTCTGCCGAATAAATAACAGCAGCATGACGCAGTGGAAGCGTGCAGGGCTCATAACCCTGAGGTCACTGGATCGAAACCAGTTGCTGCTAGATTTGTTTTGTTTTGACGGTGCGGGTTTACATTTTTGGTCGCAACATTATGTATTATGACCCAAGTCACCCAACTGCAGCTGCTTACTTGCAATTGCGAAGAACATGAAGGTTAGTTTGGGTGCCGAGGAAATGCGTCAAACTAAGTGTATTTGAGGGGCGGGTCAGCCACCTTGCAAGTGATCATAGATAGTACTACAGAGGTTGTCCCACCTTCATCCTCACCGCTTCCACCACTACCTGTTTATTGTATTACCGCCTACTCGCCGTGCTATCAGCCCACCTGACATTATAAGCAATGCCTCCGACTACCGCCACGATGTTCGCTACAGGTACGAGGAAACGCAAAATTCACTACCGCATATTCGGACATGCGCATCGAGCTCCCTATGAGGGGGCAATCAATACGACACTTGCCAGGTACAATTCATTCTTTACATATCCAACATCCATGCTTCCAGCGGAATCGGCGTCTACACCACACCCGGAAAGTACGGCGAGTAGTACCTTCTTGCTCGGGCAACTCATCACGGCAGAGCAGGCGCCCACGGCAATCCTTGCACAGCAATTGCCTCCTACAATTCCAAACGAGAGGTCGGGAGGCAATGCGCTAGTGGCGGTTGTCGTTGCCATTGTGGTCATGGGCAGCCTGGTAGGCGTTATCGTCGGAGGAGAGATCATGAGGCGGCAGAGACGTCGCCAGGGAACTAGAGAGGGGAGTGACAAGGATGGGACAGACTTAGTGCCGGACAAAGGGAAGGAGGTCTTCGATGAGAAGAGTCCAGATTCATCTACATCATCGCTTCAGAATTCGCCCACGTCCATAGAGAGTTTGGCGTTTCATCTAAAACACGCGACTCGTCCCGTGAAGAGAACGACACCCTCCTGGTTCTCGCGGATCTTCCGGAAGGCTCAGGCCATCTTGCATCACAAGAACGCGGAATCCCCAACGGAGGCATCACGTGCATCACGGACTCCTGCAGATCGATCGGCGGAGTTGCCGCAGCGGACGACGTGGTCAGATTTTTCATATACGCCAGAACCGAACTCCTTGAGTTACCCGAGGCCGCTTTTGCATTGCATACTCGAGGAGTGTGAAGATGACTGTCACAGCCAGAGCGGCAGTGAGATCGCCCTTACGTTGGGCCTTGCGATACAGCGTTCTCTAGATTCCATTGCCATCACATCGTCTGTCCACGGGGCATCCCAAGCCAAATTATTTGCCACCATTCGGAAATCAGTCGAAGCTGGCTCTATCGTCGAGGAGAGATATGGTGAAGATCAGGAAGATGCTCATGATGTAGGCTTTCTGGAATCTGTATCCACAGGAATGAGCGTGAGCCCCTCTGGCTTGGATCTGGCACCCACGGCATCTTTGCAGACTGTCGACACTGGAGCAAGCGCAGACCGCGAAAGCTTGAGAGAGGAGATGTTCGAGCTGCGAAGAGTTCAAACGAGGAGCATGCAGATGGACAAGCCTATTCTATTGTCCCTGGGCTTCAAAGCAGCAGGCGACGAGAACGATGAACCATCCGATACAGAAACTGAACATGCACCCGGCGATAACACCATGACGACACCCTTGATCGCAAACCTACTTTTTCCCCCAGGATGCGAAGGCCTACGACCTGATCTTCGGGACCTTCTCGGCTCCCAGATAACTCTAGCGACCCTGGCAAGCAGCTATAGTGCAGTGGACCTCGATGACTTCCCTCTTCCTCCTGCTATTGTACTGCCACGTCCGTAAATTAGAAACAAATTAGCCAATTCTATCATAATGAACGGAAGCACGCTGCGGATTGAAGGTATCAATTCAGGGAAATTGGACTTAGGCCGACAGACGTTGGCAAGCCTGCAACAAGCCTCATGCTAACCCCAGAATGAAATCGGAAATGCAATAACAAACGTGACAGACGCGTGTGTTACCGTGTGTCACATAATCTATTGTCCTTTAGCCATGAGATATATATCCATGTTGTTTCGGCGTTGCATTGAACCACTAAATTTCTCCACTTCTGGGTGACGGTAGAGCGCGTCATGATATCAGTCTCATTTATTTTCTTCAGTTTCTGTTCTGCTATTGCTCTATCACTCACAAGTTATGTTGTATACCATGTCATTATAGCACCCCGGTTCAATCCCCTCAGAAAGTTGGCTGGACCACCATTAAATGGGCCACTGCACAACCACATGTCACCTGTTCTCGAGTAAGTTTTTCGCCTCCCTCACTAGATCACTCTGCTCACACATTCCGTAAGCCCATTCAGGTCACCCAGGACTCATGCTGCCTATGTGGAGAAATATGGCAGGAACGTCCGTATAAGAGGGCTTGGTCCCGTGAGTGACTGGACTGTAAAATATGAGAACCGAGAATGACTGTTTGACGTAGTGGGACGAACGTCTCCTTCCCCTTGACCCTGTTTCCGTTGCACACGTCCTAAAGAACAGCACAATCTACGAGAAACCTTGGCAATCTCGAAGACTTATTACGAGTCTCATTGGGTGCGGTATGCTGGCTGCAGAAGGTCATGTCCATAAACGTCAACGGCGTGTCGCCACCCCTGCATTTTCCATTCAGAATATGCGAGCACTTGTGCCACTTGTCTTTAGCAAGGGAGAGGAACTCAGAGATAAGTGGATGAATATG